AAAGGAGACAACTCTCGGCTAAACTCTTAACCGGCGAGGAGCGTATAATCCGTACAGTACTGCACNGGAGTTTGTTATTCAATAAACGCGTTTATTAACCAACGTATAGTACATTGCTGTAACGAATAATTGTTCATTAAAAAATCAAATCAACTTCTTTGAGGCAACGAACAGCATCCATTGTTCAATAACTCGTTCGTTGTAATAACGAAAGGTATTAATTACGAAAATGTATCTGTTTATTGAAACAAAAACCTGAGTTCTTTGGTTTATTTATTGCATTAATGTAAAAATTAATTGTCTCAACAATTACAGGTTTTATCCAATGTAAATATTTCTTAATAGATAAATTCTGTACGTTGTTTCGGTTCGATTAGGATTAATAGAAGAAAGGCGGAAATACAAAAACAGGATAAACGAAGAAGGGCAAAAAAGATATAAGGCTATAAAGTGGGAAATAATTAGGAAGTGTAGGGTAGCTAAGGAACAGTGGATTGAAAGCATGTGTAAAGAAGTGGTAGAAAAGTTTAAAGTAAAAAGGAATGTTAGAGATGTAGGGTACAGTAGTATTAATACAAGAAACGAGGCAGGGGTAATTTTGATAGAAAATGAGGAAAAGGCAGATAGGTGGAAAGAATATTTAGAGAACCTATACGCAGGCCCTGAGTTAGGAGATATTTTAGAGAAGAAAGATAGTGTGGAGATAGATGAGCTAGGTTATCCCATAATGACAGAAGAGTTCGATGTAGTATTAAAAAACTTAAATAATAATAAGGCGTCAGGTGTAGATGGGATTTAGATAATTCTAAAACATGCAGGACAAGAGGTTAGTGATCGTATGTTTAAGCTAGTTAGTCACATTTACGAGACCGGAAAAGTACCACAGGATTATAAACGGAACGTTGTAGTAATCATACCTAAAAGGAGAGACGCGGATAAGTGCGAGACATTTAGAACAATTGGCTTAACTTCCCATGCGTCAAAAATCTTAACTGGAATTGTACAGAGGAGGATGGAAAAAAGGGCGGAAGAACTACTATGGGAAGATCAATTTGGGTTTAGAAGAAAAAAAAGGAACGCGGGAGGCCATTCTAGCTATACAGGTAACAATAGAGAAAACGATAGAAAAAAGAAAGAGTGCGTGCATAGGATTTGTAGGTTCAGAAAAAGCGTTTGACAATGTTAAATGGGAAAAGATGTTAAATATACTTAAAAAAGTAGGGAAGAGTTACAAAGATAGAAGAGTGATATTTAGTTTGTATAAAGAGCAACAGGCAGTTATAGAGATGACGCTGCAACGTAGAGAAGTAAATATTAGGAAGGGAGTCAGACAGGGATGAACACTGTCACCGCTACTTTTTAAGCTATACATCGAAGATGCGATCAACATCATTAACGACAGTACAACTGTAGGGATAGGTATACAAGGGCAAAAGATTAGTAGGCTTAGATTTGCAGATGATATAGCAGTATTAGCATCTAGCAAGGAGGATTTAGATATAGCTTTAAATAAAATCGAAGCGGTATTGACAAAACAGTACTGTATGAAAATAAATACAAGTAAAACAAAAATACTGGTATTCAAGGGAAGAAAAAGTAGGGAAAGATCGAATATATAGATAGGAAACGAAAATTAGAAGAAGTGGCCGATTTTAGATATCTAGGAAGTCAGATAAGTCAGGACGGAGGGAGTAAAAGGGATATAAAGCAGAGGATAGCGCAGGGTCGTGTCGCCTTTATAAAAAGAAGTCACTTCTATGCTCGCGAACTGTTAATTTAGAAATTAATTACAGTCGAATGATAAGGATACCGTGGATAGAGAAGATTAGAAATGAAGGGGTATTAGAAATAGTAAGAGAACAAAGGACTCTATGGAAGTCAATAAGAAGTAGGCGAGTTAGGTTAATAGGACACCTTTTCAGACTTGAAGGTATAGTCATAGACATATTAGAGGCAGAAACAGAAGTTAGGAGAGGTAAAGGTAGACCTATATTAGATTTCTGCTCGCAAATAGTTAACGATATGGATTGTTCTAGTTTTAGGGAAATGCGAAGATTAGCTCAGGATAGAAAAGAGTGAAGGTGTGTGTCCAACCAGTCTTAGGACTGAAAACCTTATGATGATGATGCTCCTTTCAATAATTAATGTTTTGCAGATAAGCTATTATATAACTTATTATCGTAGTAGATATTGAAATTATTATGAAAGTTGAACAACAATTACACTAAATAATAAATTAGTAGTGAAATATTCTATTTAGGTAGAACTTTTATAGTATTTTATTTGTATTGTATATAAAGTCGAGACTGTAAAGTGTCGGGCATTTTAACTAAATGTTGTTCTTATGAGTTAATTGAAAAATCTAGAAAAGATGAGGGCTCGATATTCTTCAGGCTTTATTGCTTTGGTACGGCATTGGTCTAGGTTTGGAGTACCTAATCGTGAATCCTTGTCGCAGACTTGAGCGAAGGGTGAATTGCAACTGCCAGTATTTTGGTAATAAAATTGTTAGGAAGTATTAAGGAGAACATAAAATTTAAAGTTTAGAATGTTTGGACATGTACGAAGAACCGTGAAGGCAACAGAAACTTTACTAAAAGTCTTTATATAAGGTATTTTAGTCCTTGAAGCCCAATTACATTTTATTGTCTAGAGATCTCCAATTACCAACTACCTCGAAAGCAAGTATATTCAAATCTCTAAGCACTTTGAACATGCTTTGTAAGTTGAAGTTCTTTAAAACTTTAAATACAAATTACAACGCACTTTTATATTAAGCCTTAACTAGTCGTTCATAATAAGGCTTGAATTTTAGTGCTTCTAAGTCCTGAAAAGATTGGAAGCACATTTTCAAGAACAAAGCACTAAAACTCTGTCCAACTCTGCAAGATACTCAACATTATATAAATCAATTAAAACGGACTAAGAGTTATAGACATCATACGGTTAGCTAGCAAGCAATGTTTAGAAATGAAAAGGAAATAGGGAAGCATGTAGTTTCCAGCGAGTATAGATAATATTGCAGATTGGTGCTATGTCGAAGACGTTAGATGTAAATGTAATTCTGATTTTAACTCATAAAAAAGCTTCATTTTTGAGGAGTTACATGTTTCTACTAAAGTGTTTGAAAGAGGTTGATCATTAAGTAAAATTAAGAAATTATTCATGTGGAATAAATGTTAATTTATTAAAAGAAAGGAACAGATTCGTTTTGATTAAAAGAATCTCGTTTTAAACATTTCTCGCCCTGTCTGTTTCATTAGAGAAGTTTCCGTGCTTTTGAGTAATAAAAAACGAATCAGCGATTTGTTGAATTGCGGGAAATTTTTCAGAGAAACGGGCAAAGTACGTAGTTTTCCGTCACACAGGTTGTAGTTGTCGCCACGGACCGAAGCTCGTTTTGTTCGTCTTAGAACGAGATAATTTATCCTGATGCGGAGCACGTAGCTTGTTCCCGTTAGTCTATCTTCTTTAACTTCTTTAGCGAGAGTCCTTAGGAATTCTTCTCTCGAACACAACTAATTCAACTTGGGGACCGGTATTTCATGTTTCGTCTTCATCACAAAGCTCGCTAACTCGCGGAAGGAATATCTAAGTCAAACGTAATTTGTATGACAACAATGGACGCACTAGTGAGAAGGCGAAAGTAAATAAGTACGAATGGTAATGAATTATTGAATATAACGAAGCCTGTGAAAAACACGAAAGACGTCGTTAAGAAGGAACTCGAAGGCTTTATTTCATCTACTGCTTTTACTCTTTTGACAATTAAAGACTTCATTTAATTCGATCAGGAAAAAGAAGTAACAATTTAAATTGGTTATAGCGTTAATAAACACTGAATTCTATAAGATTTATTACATTAAAACTTAAGATCTGTATTAATATATTTCGAATCAAATAATAACCTGACCTAATTCAACCTAACCTGTTTATTATGAACCTCAACTTATGTTATAAAAATAACCAAAAAATAATTTGACTTCACCCAACCTAACCTATTTATGGGTGTGTTCTGAAATATAACCCAACATAGTGGCCAGTGCTGATGACGTCATAAATAGACGCCATATTGTACTGGTGTGCCACCATATTGTACTGGTGAGACAAGTGTGACGTAGTGGTATATCAAATGGGCGTGTGTGCATCAGACTTTGAGCAATTTTTTATTGTAAGAAACTTTAATAACTTTTGGAGCAAAATTGCTGCAAACGAGCACAAACACTATTATCAATATGTTGTCAATTTGACGTCAAGGCACTGACCAGTATATTTCGGAACGAATCAACAGTATGGCGTCGATTCATTACGTCATCAGCACTGGTCAGTTTTCTGGGTTATATTTCGGAACACAGCCTATGAATAGTGTAAGACAGTAAGTTCCTGATCAGTAGGTATGCTATAAAAACTGTCAGATATGGATCGCGATTTTGAACTTGTTGGCTCTCATTAGCACGCCACGCCGGAGAGTTCTGCCCACTGAAGTTGTTGCTGGTTGAACATTAACAAATTTACAATTGGTCTACGGATGACCGTAACTTATGGAAGGTCAGCGCTTCACATTTCATAGATTTGACTTTGTTTTTTTAAATAAATAATTGATACTTTTATATTTGCGGAATAAGAATAAAAAAAATTGACAGTGGATCTATTTTGTAAATATTGTTAATCTTTTTTGCGTAAGTGGGAGAGGGGAGTTAACAAATATATTACGATTTCTCACATAGGGGAAGGGATCAAAAATTAGAAGAAATAGCCTTTAGGAATTAATCGATAGTGATTTATATAGTTTAATCGTCCATATATCTCGGATTTCTAATTTCATAATCGAACAAATTATTTTAATAGCAGAAAAGTATAAATTCAACCGCGTGTATATATAAGATACACCTATTTTTTTACATTTACGTTGTAAGGCATCTTATAAAAAAAAACTTCGGCTCATAGCTATCAATTAACTTATATTAAGCTTGCTGAAGAAATTAATTCTATTGTTTCAGGTCCTGCATTTTGGGGATTGATGAATCCACAATGGAATATGTGCTCAAGGGGTAGAAGGCAGTCGCCTATTAACATAGAGCCCAGCAAATTGCTTTTTGATCCATCACTACGACTTTTAAATGTGGATAAGGAGACGGTATGTTAAACATTTTTCCACTGCACATGTAAAAATATTTACGTCAACAGGTATTATTTTCATCAATGACTATTTTAAGTAAAAGTACTGCGTATTGTTGGTTATGAAAGTTTTAATGATTTTGAGTTTTCAGAGAAGCAAGACACATTTTCATATAGATGTAGTTGAAAAAATATATGTATTCCATACGTTCATCAAATTATGTATTTTAATTCGTACAACATAAAAAGAAAAAATGCTGACAAAGATTTGTGTAATTTCTATGTTCCTGTATTATTATTAACTAAACAACTATTATTGATTTCATGATGAAGGGAATTGGTCTTGGGAATTCCCCGATATTTGTTGTATTTTCAAAACACGAACATAAGAAACAGAGTAGTTACTTATAGTTTATTTAAACTAAAGCATTAAAAAAGGGCCCAGCATAGTTCTAATAAAAATTTCAGAAATTATTGGGTTAATTTAAATTCGTAATCTTGTTTTACTCCATGATTTGATAATTTTGGTATTTTTTTTGAAATTTTGGACAATCTTCTATCAAAATATTTCACAGTTTGCAATGTACAATCGAAGTTGTTTGTCGTAAGAGGATTGCCAACACCTATTTGAAGTGAAACATTTAAAAGTAGATTACGTTAGTGCCACGATTAATTAATAGGGGTTCATCATTACAGATATCGGGACACATCTATAATACGGGACAGTCTCTCGTATTTAGGGTTGATAAGGGGACAAAGCATTACGTAAACATTTCTGGCGGTCCACTCGCTTATCGGTATCAATTTGATGAAATTTATATCCATTACAGTGCAGGAAATCGTTACGGTTCTGAACATCGTATCCATGGCTATTCGTTTCCTGGAGAGGTAGGCCATTGAAGAGATAGGCAACGTTATCTGATAAAATGCAAGAATAATTATATACCTAACATTTTAGATTCAACTCTATGGTTTTAACGTGGACCTTTACCATAATATGACGGAAGCGAAATATAAGACACAAGGGGTTGTAGCAATTTCCTTAATGATTCAGGTACTTGTTATACCTAGGATTATTTGAAAAATACTTGAAGTTTTAGTATAGTTGAGGCACTTTCACATTTATATGTGTTGAAAACTTTTAAGGTAGAATACACAAATTTCCAAATTTTTGCTTCATTCTATCCGTCCTAACGAGCAACCATTTTTATGAACAATTTAGAATATATTTCTAAAATAAAAAAAAATGTGGTCAAGAACGTTGACTCGTTCTGACAGTCTAAGTTCCTGTTACACGGCGAGTGGATTGCCAATTCTTTAACTTCTTTTCACGGCGGTAGCGTCGGCGAGCGCATGGAACGCCGATCCACGCGGTAGCGTCGGCGAGCGCATGGAACGCCGATCCACGTTCCTCGTACACTTCGTTTACTTTCTCTAGAGATGTTCCCTTCCAATGTCTTTGATGAGCGCTGGAAAAATCGTAGGTAGGGAGAAAAAAGCTCATTATACTCTCGACTCTTGTTCATTAAACATTCTTTTTCATACAGTACCTGCCAAAGGTTTTGTTCAATCATGAATAGTAATGTGAGTCGAAAACAAGCGTTAAAGCCTTTAATATGTCTTCAAATATAAATAAAGATCTCGTTGATATTTTCAGTAGTAAATGGTACCAATAACAGCACATTTGAGCAATGCAATTGTAGTGGATAAAATGGTCAATTTTTCCGTGCAGTACTGTACGGATTATACG